TTTGTGTTTGCTGCTTTGTCCTAAAATTGGGATCATAATTAGTTCAAATGTAAGTTAAGCAAAATAGAGACTGCATGCGTCTCTTTTCACGTTTGTTACAAATTAATCATTTTTATTCCAGCCATGTAGGTGTCATGCACTTGTGTGTAAAACAGACATCGTGTTCTCAACAGACAGTAGGGTTCCTGTGAATTGGCAAGCAGACAAATTATGTGCCTCCTCGTTTGGAAAAAAGAAAGATTTCCACCCAGATGGGTATTTTTAAAGGTGGGGTATGGATACGACAACGCTCCAATTTAAAGTTTAGATTTGACCTTTCTCTCCCATGGGGAGAAGGTGCCCAGAACTTTTCCCTGGATCCAGGATTTAAACCTGCGTGTACTGTGCACACACACACTAACGGTCTAACAACAATGGGGTAGTATTTCCCTTAAAAGTATAAGGAGCAAAGCAGGACCGGTAGTATCAGACAAAATATCTTTTTGTCGTTTTTTAAACACTGCAGATCAGCCTTATCTAAATCTTTTCTTCATACCTTAAGATGAAATTGAAGAAAGAGAGAACTTCACAATATGGATACATAATAATTAATGTCTCTTCAAATGTGCAATGTTCACAAAAACGGTGCTCCCCATCAGCCGGAGACACCCCTACCTGTCAACAGCAGTGCGCTGGCCGCAAGGTCAAGAGCCAAGAGGAGCTTCATCTTGAGCCCAAAGCACGAAGTGAATTTACTGTGCATGCAGGACAGTTTATCTGTATATATGTAAAGTCAAGCAAAGACAGGTAGTGATGTCTTCAAAACCCAGTGTCTTGTTTTTTTTCCTGAGAGCTCAATCTTGCTGACTGGTGAAATAAGGAACATGTCCTCACAGCAGATTATTTTTTAACGCAGAAGTTAAAACGATTTGCCAAGGAGTGGAAAGGATGGTTGTGGGCCCCAGATGTCAAAGGCTGTACAGTGTGGTTGTTAATTGTATCGATGGGCCAGAAACAGCCTGGTGTTTAAGCAGTTCCATGCCCTTTCCTCTGTGTTTCCTGCCTTCTTCACAGACCCTGGGTAATCACCTCACCATTCAGGGGTAATGTGTGGGGCTGCAAACATTTTTGACTGGACCTGTGAGTGAGAGGGAGGCCCTAAGCAAGGACAGTGTTCGTTCGAACAATACATCATTACACCTGGTCATCTGCGTACAACCGTTTCCCAACGAGCCCTGGGCCGTTAGCCCTGCCTCAGACCCAGAAACATGGCAGGGGGAGCGGAGAAGGGAGGGCTTCAGAGAAGGAAGTGCAGCAGGTGAACCCAGGAGAGGACTCAAATCAGAAACCAGAGACTGGAAGCAGCAGAGAGGCCCAGAGTCCTCCTGCTCCTCCTGTATCCAAAACTGGACTTGGAGACAAGCGGGGTAGAGAGGCGGGAACGGTAGTGACGCCTATCACTATCACTTTTATTGGCTTTCAGAAACCTACAGGCTGCTGTGGCTTACAAGTTTCAGGGAAGCCTGCCCAGTCCCCAAAACCAGTCCATTACAGAGGTATTTCGCTTGTGGTATTACAAGGAGTTTTTCCCAAAGTTAAGACATCTTCCGTTCTTCTTCACTCTCTTCCAACCAACTCTTCTGTTGGAACAGCTGAATTCCTGCCACATTCCTTTCTCTTCTCTACAGGCAAAACATTCTAACTAACCCAGAAACACCCTCACACACTGAACTGGACTCATCCCTTCAATAAATAGTTGGACGTTTCCTTCCTTACTGATAATTACTGGCACACCTCAAACACCTTAACCCTTTAGTCCTGTTCTACAACACTACAGAGATATATGGAGGATTGATATATTTAATCCAGGAATACGTACATACAAAATAGTAAATTAACTTTCTATATCAGTCACTCACACCTGCTTAACTTCAGTAGGTTGCCAGTTGTGAGTTGAAAGTTCTTCATAGATACATCCCATGTAGTGGTGGCTGTTATATATTTTTTGCACCATCAAGTTTTCTCTTGCTTCACATTTGAGTATATTGTGATGACTTATATGTGATCACACCAGTAGGGCTTAAGGCATTTTATGAAATGGCAAAATGTTGATATACAGTTGTCAACAGCTGGCAGTTTCCGCAGTCAAGATTCTTTGGTATGCTAAAGATATCATGTATCTGAATTCTGGAACTCAGGAAATGGCTTCACTGAAAATAATGGAAGATTCCTTTCAGCTTTTCCCATCTACTGTAAGTCATAAGTTATCTACCGTCAGTAGCTGTGCATGTCTGTCAATACTGTAGCCTCAGACATTGCTTTTGTCAGAGACATAATATAGTCAGGTGTACCAGATGTGGCATAAACACATTGTATATAATAAGGAAGGGTGTTACTTTTGCTTTTGGCATTACATGGAGATTTGCCAAAGTAAAATGAAAGTGAAATGAAAAACTGCACAGCCATGTCACAGGCAGAGAGAGCCACAGTAGCTGATATACCAGTTACAGGCAGTCTTTCATTACTGTGTGGAGCTTTTGTCCTGATAATAGTCATGACTGCTAGGACGTCCTGTCGCTCACTGTGCCATATAGCATTTTTAAAATAGTAGGTCTTTTCTCCCCATGTGGGTTTGCCTGTTCTCTCAGAACCACCATGCACAAGCCTCTGAAAAACATACTATATTTCCTCTCGCAATCACTAAAAGTTACCACCGTCGACTTCAGATGGAAAAGCGCAAGAAGACAGAAGAAAAAAAGGGGGCATGTGAAAAAACAAAACAAGTTAACTAATTTTGGGAAGGTATTATAAATAGATTTTTTATGCCAGACATCCGCAACTTAAATGAGGGATAGGGAATGTCCAATTGAACACTGGGGGTAAGCAAAGAAAACAAGTAGATGGATATTTGAGGAATCATGCAGATGATCTGGTGTCAAAGTGAAGTCCTTCCTTCATCTTTCCTCTCTGCCCCCCTGTAATGGGTCCGGTTCAGCATATTCAGCATCCCATCAGAACCTAATGTGTTGCTTGTGGCTGTATGGTAATTGATGAGAATCTAGGCAAACAGCCCATCACTCAATTTGTGATGAGCCACCTGCCATACTGTTTTCGTGAGGAATGCTGGAAGACATTGAAAGGAGAAGGAAGCAGAAACAAAGACACAAAAGGGAAAAATACACCAATGCTGACAAAACTATGGACCATCATAAGTACCAATTCCAGTAAACATAACCCATGAAATTTTCATGGGGACATGTATTCTTCCTACACTTGCCTTAGTAAAGATGCAGGGTTTCTCTGCCTTCTGAAAAGATTGGAACTTTTTGCAGCCGAAATTTCCCATATGGTGCAAGAGGCATTTCCAAAATATGTGGAAGATGTCCTAAACAATTTTGTGGTTTAGATATTTCACAAAACAGTTGAAGTGTCATGAACAAGGTGCAGTAAAACTGGTTGGACAGGGCACAACAAGCCTTACAGATGACTTCTTGAATTTTGATTTTTATTTCCTGTTTTTGTTGGAACTTGTTGACTTGATTAAAACCCATGCTTACAGTAGGATCTCAAAATATATCAAATGTAGTATGTCCTATAAGTAACATCCTGCATGTAAATCTTGTTTACAATGGCTGCCTCAGTGCATGTTGATGCCTGAGGTGTAACTACATTTTACTCAAGGCAATTTGTTTTCTAACATTGACACATTACCAGCTTTAACCTGTTTTTTCAGGATGAAGGAATGAAAGAATAAAATTGTGCTTGTGTGTGGGGTTATGAGCAGACAGGTGTACCGTGTGTGTCTGGCCCTGGTGTCCCAGTGTCAAATCTAATTCCATATCCCCTGGAAATCTGTATCATTCTTCTGTAATGCTCACACACTCCACAAAACATTTGAAGATACTTAAAAACATAAGCAGCTCCTGCGTGGATGTGTGTGTCTTTGCTTATTAAGATAAATACTTAAAAACGTGACTCAGTGTTAAGACGTATCCATTTAATTCAGCCTTTCTTTCGCAAACTGATAATTTGCGTATTTCTAATGGCAATAGCATGTACGTTACGTACATAATAATTGTCAGTGAAAATACAGTATGTCATTTTGCTTTTTATTGTAGACATCTATGTATTCTAAACTGACAAAATTACTCAGACCAGTCCTTTACAGTATATATTTCCCACTTTCCTGTTACAAAAAAACCCTGCTGTTTTACGTTGAAGGTCATACAGTACATGCTTGAAGGAAAACACATGATAACGATTTTAAATATTAGTACTTAAAGAATGGCGGTTTCTCCTGATTAATTCCAAAGCAGTAAAACTAGGTTGTCTCCCGACTTTTTTTGATGAACCAAAAGTCAGTCTGTAAAAATATTCGGAAGTCAAATAGTGCTTTCAAAAAATATAATGTTGTTTTACAGCGCTGAGACTACAAAAATGTAAACTCTTTTTTGTGATTAACACCGGCACATAAAAAAACGATCAAACAAGTCTAACATTAGAAACATAAAAAATACCGGCGGGCAGTGGAATACGACTATAGAAATAACTGAGATTTTTTAAACTTAAGTATATTAAATAAATCATATTTATCACCTTATTAAAAATTGATAGTATGTAAAAAGATTGTCTGTTACTTCAGTGATGGATAGCAAGCAAATTTCATACAAGTAAGCGTCGGACTATACTTGCCCGACAAATTATTTAATATATATTTGATTTTTTAATTAAATGATTGAATTCTTATTTAGATCGTAACAATTTTTTAATACTCGAATTGTTTACAACACAAAAACTATGAAAACATTTTTTCATAAAATAAATTCAATTATTCACAGCAAATTATGCTGTAGTAAAAGTACCAGGGCTTTCTAATGTACATAATACATATTATACAAACGATTGCGGTTTTGTATGTTGAAATAAAGGCAACAACAATGTTCTCACTTCAGAACTGACGCAAGAATCTCTGATATTACCGGTGGGACAGCATTTTTGTTTTATGTACAGCCTATAAATAATGCCGGTGGCGCTAGAGAACTTAATTTGACCACACCTGCCGGGACAAGATGAAGATGCTGGGGATTCTCGCTCTGACCTGTGCGCTCTTTCCTCTGGGTAGGACAAGCTTTCGTCTGTATTTTCCAAATAACATTTTTATAAACCGTTGTATTAATTAAAACCTTAGGATGTTTTGTTTTATTCTAGCTAAACAGTTTTAATCACGCTTATCGAACTTTTAATTAAATGTATTTAAATTGTTTTTAAAGATATTCTGCCGCAAGTTGAAACTTGCCTACAGTACATTTCTTCTAGGAGACAGAAGGATACACATAACATTGATTTGTGAAACTTTGACCTATTGTAAGTGCAGAAAGGAGTTAAATTCAAAAGCTTCTTAAAGTTAAGAGCACAGACATTTGAGCTCATAATTTTGAACAAGATAAAGAAAATGCAACTGCAGATTCATTGACCATGTTGAAGTATTCTAGCTCAATAGTTCTCAACCTTGATCCCGGGAGACCTCTGGGTTTTTTTCAAGGCGAGCTATTAATAATTAATTAATGACACTTGATTATACTTGTTGATGACTTTCATTGAAATGATTGTTAATTTAGACTTGTTTAACTGATTCTCTTCCAGTCCTTGTTTATTAAGAGCTTGCGCAGTTATTTTAGTCTAAACTGCTCTTAACAGGTGATCAATGTCTACAGTGAGATTTTTTCCTTCTGCTCAAACAGAACCAGTTAGATTTCCAGAATCACACCTGAACGAGGGAAATTCTAAAATTCAGATACAGGCACAAGAACGATGCCAGTTATAAATCCAATTTAATGTTTTTAGAGGTGAAAGGAAATTTGAAAGTATGCATCAAGTAGGTTTTGTGAGAGAAAGTAAATATACTGTATGTTTGGAACTGAATGCACTAAACCAGGCTGTGCAGTAAGTATTGGATGACCATGTCCTCTGTGTCATGATTCAGACCAGCCAGCTATTGCTTTGGATGTTTAATTTCAATTTGAAGTCAGTTTCTAATTGTTTTTTTCCCTTGTTCTGCAGCCACTGGCCTCAGCTGTAATCAGTGTTTACCAACATCACTCATTTCCACGTGCACACAAAGTCAGGTAACATGCCTTCCTGCATTCACACAGTGCTTTACAGGGACTTTGAAAGCTACAGGTAAGAGAAATGTGTTCAAAGTTTGAGTCTGTAACAAGGTGCAAACATACAGATTATATGTATAATGACAAGAGGAAAATTCTACAGCACATAATAGAAATGCAGGGTTTCTGCTGTGAATTCTTGTTGAAGTACATTACAATTGAAATGCTTCCTTCTTTTTAATCTTTCAACATGGAATTATCCTGACAATATTTCTGAGACGGAATAATATTTAAAATTCACACTTTCAAAATCAAACCTGTTAACCTGCAATGGAAAGATGATGAAAACGATTAATCAGTGTGCATTCCTGCATTTTATTTTTTTATTGCTTTTGACAACTGAGATCTAGGATACATTCTTTCTACCAGCATTTAATGTCTTATTTCCATATTCAATTAGATGGCTGGATGAGATACCATTTAACCTTTTTTTGTAAAACAATTTAAATTTTGCCCTGGCTTCTCCTTAAGTCTTACTCACATAAAGTTCCTGCAGAAAGCAATTTATCATATGCAGGATAATAGCCACAATAAGGGAAAGGGATTCACATTTCATATTCAAGATATTCAATATCAAAGGTGTTACGAACAGTTCTTTCCGGGCCCTATGCGGACGACACAATCCAGAATAGTGAAGACACAAGGGGAAAAATAGTCATGCAGGAAAAGGGTCTGGAGACGGGGGGCGTGTCCATGCAGTGCAGGTGTCCAGGGGAAGCGAATCCAGGCGAACAATCCATGTAGGAAATCCAAAAGAGTAATCCGAGACAAAGGGTAGAGTCCAAGGCCAGGGGATCCATCCAGGGAGTTAAAACACAAACCGGGTCGGAACCGGCTAGGGGAACCAGGAACTAGGAACAGAGAGTAAAAGCATAACGGAGCCAGACGCAGCAAGACCCCTGGCTCTCATGATGTGGAAATCAATGAGGAACCAGGAGTGAGGTCCGCATCTGGGTTTTAAGGGGGAACGGGAATAGGGATCAGGTGCAAACAATGGGAGGGAACGAGGAAGGGCTGGAGCTCCCTTAAGAGGAGGTGTTAGCGATCGTGACAAAAGGTGCTTTATGTAACCTGACCAAAAAGATTGAACATAAACCTGCAATATGAACTGGGAGAGCTTTCTTTCACATTTTTTAAACAGAAAATGTATTACTTTTGTTCCACTGTATTCAATCATTTTCAGGGATTACTGATTTAACGGTGAAGTCATGCATGCTACCAGAGGTGTGCACAGGGGATCCTTTATCGATAAATACTGGAGCATTGAAGCTGACTGCAAAACTAGACTGCTGTTCCACAGATAACTGCAACTCCAATACTCCTCCTGGTAATAAACTATTCATAACACCAACTAAGAGGTTTCAAACACATTCCTGGGTTACTATATATGTTATACACTTCAGCAGTTTTCTTGTATCTCCATACAGTATGCATTTAACTATCATAGCAAGTTTTATACAGCTTCTTTTGCGTGAGAATCATTTTATATTCATATGGATCAAACACTCACAGTCACAACAGCTCAAGGTAAACTAAACAAAGAGCAGCAAAGATAGTGTTATAAAAGCTCATCCATTTATTAACTTGTAAGTTCAATCTATTGACTTGTTCACACCATTTATTCCTATGTGTCAATGAAGCTCAAGGCCTACTTTTGAGCTTCAAAATATACTGTGCAGTAGATCTGGCAGAAAAAAAAAAGTGTTAGGTTGAAACAAAATAATTATATTTTCAGGAGAACATTAGCCTTTCTTGCATAAATAAGTAAAAATAGAGTTGAATAAGGTGGAAATATGCATAAAGACTTTAGCACAATGGTAAGCATTCCATTCTATTCTTCTCTCTCACCCCAAAACGTCCTCTTACTAGTATTTGAAATTGTTTCAAAATGCTGTATAAGCGTGATGAGAACTTTGCAACTGTTTTCTTGGAAATTACGGAAATGGACTTCAAGTTACAGCTACTGTGAATTTGTAAGTCAATAAAACTACGTAGTGTAACCATAGCTGGGCAATTAGACTCCATGTTCCAACAAAGAAAAGCATTGGTCTCCTTGTACAGCTAGGTGGCAGTGTTCAGTAGTGGTCACGGGTTCAAATCCGTGTGGAAGACGGCTGCAGTATAAGCAAGTACCAAAATGTGTTAACGTATGCAGTCACAGCCCCTCTTGGCAACACCAGAAAAATGTATTGGCAAAATAAATGAATTATTGAAAAATGTGATTTGAAATTTAAATGTAGTTTTGTCATTTATTTAGGCCATTGGTAATGGTGTAGTGCATAATCTCTGACATGTTTGTTGTGTTTTACAGCTGCTTATACAAACACTACCCCCAGTGGTCTGAAGTGTTATTACTGTGATGGAACTGTCTGCAAGAAGACTCTGACTTGTCAAGGGGTTGAAAATCGCTGTTTCACAGCTTCTGGTAAGTTAATGCTGTTTATTATGATTCTATTTCCCACCATGGGCCATGTTGAGCATTTGCTCTGCTGCGACTTTCTTATGAAGGTCTTTCATTACAAAAATACTGTTTTTTGCATAGTCAAGTGATGTAGAGAGTAAAATGAAAATAACAAGATAGAAATATCAGCACGTTGACACGAAACACAGATGAAGAAATTACAATGTTCTGAGAAGGAAGCTTTCACAAGTCACAACACATACTGTATATAAGAGATGATGAAAGAATTGAGAATAACTAACCTGAAGGGAAAAACGTTCATTTTGTGGCTGTTGTAATTTAATGATAGCCTACACTGTATATTTAATCACATAAAAAGAAGGAAGGGATAGGGAGAGAAGCTTGGGGTCAGAGTGCAGGGTCAGCCATTTATACAGTATGGTGCCCCTGGAGCAGTTGGGGTTAAGGGCCTTGATCAGGGGCCCAGCAGAGTTGGATTCCTCTGCCGGCTGTGGGATACGAACTGGCAACTGTTCAGCCACAGGTGCAGATCCTCAACCACAGAGCCACTGCACTGCCCCCTGCATGAATGGATGAATGGATGATTAAATGATTCCTCTGATTTTTTGTTTTGTAGGTTCTGTCAATGATCAGACCCAGACATACATGGGATGTGCCAGTGACAATACCTGTAAGGCATTTAAAACGGATCTATCAAAGATATTAGGCCAGGCATTCATTACCACATGCTGTTCTGGAGACCTGTGCAACAACGCAATGCGCACAGGGCAGAGTGTATTTCTCCTGCTGGTGCCTCTTGCTTTCATCAAGCTCTTCAACTGAGAGATGACAACACCCACATCCCTCCTTCTGGAAAGAGGCAGGATTGAAACATGTGACATTGAGGTTTATAAGGAATCCTTATCTATCATTTTATGTCTTATATTTCATTGTGTGTGATTGCTTATGCCGACCTTTATTAATTTGAATGTTTTTTTCTTGATTGGAAAGAATTTTACCACCCCCTTAAAGGTCTACCTCAAATAGAGGTAATGTTTTTGCAAAGGGATGTATAATTCTTAAATTTGAAATGGCACTTCTTTTCAACTATGCTTTTTGTAACTCCATGTACTCAATAAAGACTTATTCAAGCAGCAGCTCAAGTTTTGCATGTTCTTATAGGGAGGAGTGAAAGATTTTAGGAAGGTACTGCAGTCAGAGGGTTAAATCCGAAAATGTGGATTTAAATTAATAACTTGAGTGAGAAGGGATATGGCAATACTGTTGTAGCAGAAGCCAGATACCAGGAACAAGTATTCTGGGGTTATAAATATTAGGCTTAAAATATTAGCCGGAGAGCTAAAGTAAAAGAAGCTGAAAAATTACTGGAGCATTGAAGCTGACTGCAAAACTAGACTGTTGTTTCACAGATAACTGCAACTCCAATACTCCTCCTGGTAATAAACTATTCATAAAACCAACTTAAAGGTTTCAAACACATTGCTGGGTTACTATATATGTTATACACTTCAGCAGTTTTCTTGTATCTCCATATGTATTCAACTATCATAGCAAGTTTTATACAGCTTTATACAGTATGTGGCTCTTACTCTTATCTAACCTGAGAAATGTAACTTGTATGTAAGGTGCTGAATATTAACATTTTATTGATGTATCCTACGAAAGCCTTCACACCTGTGCACATTTTTAATTAAAAAAAAAACTAAATATTTCGACAGTTCAGTTCTGCTGGAAAGTGAAAGCCAGTTAAGCAGTGTTTTGAAAAAAGCTACAGTAAATCTGAACTTCTTTCATATTATGTTGTCCTGAGAGTCATTCTTCCACTATGGAGAAATAATGTTTCTAGTACCATACAGCAGGTCTTCCATAATGCCCTCAGCCACTGGGGATATTTTCCTTTTCTGAATTTCACTACATTTCGACTGTAAGCTTTGCCTTTGAAGCACCACACAAGCCTGGGCAGTTATTTGGCTATTCACAGTTCCTGAAAACAATTCATCAAAACGGGAAAACAAAACAACAACTTTTCTCTTGAGCAGAAACTAAAAGTGTTACAGAGGGCCTAAACCGCTGGTTCTTACCTCATCTACTCGGGGGGTGGGCAGATCAACCAGATATCTGTAACGAACAGTTCTTTCCGGGCCCTATGCGGATGACACGATCCAGAATAGTGAAGACACAAGGGGAAAAATAGTCATGCAGGAAAAGGGTCTGGAGACGGGGGGCGTGTCCATGGAGTGCAGGTGTCCAGGGGGAGTGAATCCAGGCGAACAATCCATGTAGGAAATCCAAAAGAGTAATCCGAGACAAAGGAGAGTCCAAGGCCAGGGGATCCATCCAGGGAATTAAAACACGAACCGGGAACTAGGAACTAGGAACTAGGAACTAGGAACTAGGAACTAGGAACTAGGAACTAGGAACTAGGAACAGAAAGGACGGAGCCAGACCCCGGGCTCTCATGATACGGAAATAAATGAGGAACCAGGAGTGAGGTCCGCGTCTGGCTTTTAAGGGGGAACGGGAATAGGGAACAGGTGCAGACAATGAGAGGGAACGAGGAAGGGCTGGAGCTCCCTTAAGAGGAGGGGTTAGCAATCGTGACAATATCGTTAATCAATCCCAGTACTCTTATATCACTATGCCTTCCCTCCCTGGCCTACTTAAACCCTACTCTGTTCCACCTTCGTTCAGTATTGGGTTTGACACTTTTTATCCTCTAAGATAGCCTTCTGGGACTCTTTCTTGGTTTATGGGCTTTTGGCTTTGCCTTTGTAACCTTGATTTCTGGATTTTGTCTTGGGTAACTTTTGATTAGTCTTCCTCTTGGCTTTTTAGACCTTTTGCTAGTCTTTAGACCTTAACCTTGGATTTCACAGTTTATTCTGTTTATGAGTCTCTTGTGATCTCGTTACCTGCCTAGGGCCTATCACTTTGCTAATAGCTGGTTAGCAGTGTAACAAAAAGAAACTGTAATACCTTCTTAGGAATTTCTTCCATTCTTCTGTGTTTTTAAGCAAGAGAATCAGCTTTGAGTGAGGTTATGGCCGTAGGTGTAAATTAGATCTTGAATTCAGGAAATCTGTATCTGGGCAAAAAGGTCTTACTACAGAGAACACTCTCTTTCAGGTCATTGCAGACTGATGGACTAACATTTTATTTACTTTGGACTCGGAAACACACAAACTAGTGTGCCGAGAACAGAAAGTGCAGTCACGTTATCCTGTAACCAACCAGAAAACAAAGAAAGTTTTATTAACATAAACCTATCTACAAACTAAAACAGAGAATTCTATATCGCTAAAAAATGTTTTAACCTGCGAAGCTGAATAAAACAAAATAACAATAACATAGGATATATGCTTACATATGTACAGTAGATGCTATCTCGGATATATTATTAAGAGCCAGCAGCTTATTTATCCAAAATAGGAACAAGACAACAAGACCTATCCGGTACAGCAGATTGCTGCCTAGCGCTCCTGTCAGCATTCATAGCAGTTTGTTTCCTTTCTGGTTTTCTCCCTCCTTCCAGATAGATCTGTGAATCATGGTCACCTAATAGTCCCCATCTATGAATAGGCTTCATCACTCTGTTCTCCACTCCACTGAGAGCTGGCTTGTGGTGAGTGGTCTGGGGGCTATATGGCTGCTGTTGCATCACCCAGGTGGATGCTGCACACTGGTGATCAATTGTTTTCGGGGAGTGAGAATAACCAAATAACTGCCCGGGCTTGCATGATACCTGACCTCTGCCCAGCTCCCTTGTCTGCAAATATTGGATCATTGAGGGTGACCGGAAATTAATCTGCTGTGACTCAGACCTCTGCAATAAAGACAGGAACACATACAGCACAGAATACAACAGGCCACAGTAACCTATTAAAATCCCAAAACACAGAAAGTAA